TCCTATAATATTATTGATATAACCACACATCCTAGTATCCATAGTGAGTAATAATCACCCACTGTGAAGCTTCACGAGGGAGGGGCCAGCTGAGACTGTGGTTGGCATCCAAGAGGAGAAACGACGAGCTCTGGGTGGGGCACAGGGGACGGTCACCCTGGGCTTGGCTATAGGAGCTCAGTGTGACTCAGATGGGGAGATGGGAGCTGCTGAGGTTCACTTTGGTGAAGTCATACTGGTGTCTCATCTTTCCCACAATTGCTTCCTTATCTAGCACTATATCTGCATCTTATGACAACTACAGTTTGATCATTTTGCCCCTTTCCTATCGAGGAAAGAGATTTTATTTGTGTGGTCAGATGCAAATTTGGAGTTCTGAAATATACTTAGACAGCTATATCAGTGATGAATTTAGCAGCTTGACACTAGAAACATGTATTATCTCCCAGTTTCTGTAAGTCAGGAAACCAGGCTCAGGTTTTCAGAATCCTCTTGGCCACGGCTCTCGGAAGGCTATAGTCAAGGTGCCAGCCTGGGCTGGTCTCATCTCAAGGCTTGGCTGGGGAACAATCTGCTTCCAAGCTCACTCATATGGCTGTGGCAAGGTTTGGACTATTGGCCTGAAGCCCTCAGTTCCTCACAGGCTTGGCTGGAGGCTCCCCTGAGTCCCTTGCCATGAGAGCCCCTCTATCTGGTAGCTCACAACATGGTAGCTGGCTTCCCTCCATGCAAGAACACCAAAGAACAAGACAGCAAGACAGAAGCCAAAGTGTATTGTAGACTAATACCGGAAGTGACATCCTGCTATTTTTGCCATATTCTGTGCACCAGAAGTGAGTCTTTAGGTCCAGTCTCAAGGGGAGGAGATTACACACAGGCATGAATACCAGGAGGAAGGGGTCACTGGGAACCAGTTTGGAAGCTGTCCATGATAACAACAATGCTTTTTGATGATATTGGATTATAAATACCCTTCCAAGTAGAAGGGCATTTATTTATTTATTTATTTATTCATTTCTTTTTGAGATGAGGTCTTGCTATGTTACCCAGACTGGTCTCGAACTCCAGGCTCAAGTGATCCTCCCCCCTCAGCCTCCCAAGATGCTGTGATTACAGGCATGTGCCACCGAGCCCTGATACAAGGGCTTTTAAAATTATTACATTTCCCATGTCCTTGTCAGAAATCTAATGCATGTTGGCTAGCCATAAAATATTACCTTAAAATCGTGATAACACTGATATAAGCAATTCTTGTAGCAAACAACCTTGTTATACTACTGTGAGAACAGTTTTTTACTGCTCCAATCTTTTTTACCTAGAATTCAGCCAGCTTTTATCTGAGTTTTACCTGAGGAGTCGAAGAAATGCTCTTGGTTACCATCAGAATCATAAAATGACACAGCTAAAAAGGAATCGTGATGTTCACCCTGCCTGACTCTTTCGTTTCACAGTGTGGAAACAGCTGAGAGGGGAAGTGACCCGCTCGTGGACGCACAGCTCATTACTGGCATAGCGGGGTCCGGGTTAGGGTTTGGTGAACTTAACATTAGGTTTTCGGACGGGGCCAATGCACTGACTCCCCTGGGAGGCCTGCAGCATGGATGTGGATTAAGAAAATTAGCCTGGAAACTAAGGTGAGGAAAGAAAAAAGTGGAAGAGGAAAAGAAGAAAGGAAAATTCTAAGAAAGAGAGGACTACAAAAGAAGAACAAGGAGAAAAGCTAAAACATATTCACCGCAGGTACCACTGGGGGGCTCCATGACTGTCTGATGTAGCTGTTTTAATGCAGTGACACTGATGCAGCCATCAAAACAAACTGTTAAACTTTTAGCATGCTGTCACTGACAGGTGGCATGGCACAGTGGTAGGTTATGACTGTTGACTCTGGAATCCTAATGCCTGGCTTGAATCCCATCTCTGCTGCTAGCTGTGTGTCTCGGTTGTTTGACCTCTTTTGCCTCATCGTCTAAAAGTGGAATGATAATAGTACCTGCTGCATGGTGCTGCCATCTGACTAAATGAGTTCGTAAATGTAAAGTGCTGATAACAGCATTGGGCACATGGAAAATTCTATTATTATCAAATGATAGGGACAACAGATTTACCTTACTCCCAGTTCTCGCCTGGGTTTCAAGATGGAGTGAAGCTGGAGATAGAGGATAGGACAAAGCTTAGGAATGGGGAAGGGGTAGCAGTTAGGGTAAGGACGTGAGTTATGCAAATCACTGGCAATGTGCAGCCAAATCAGAAAGTCTCCTGCATCACCAGGCAAATCAAATAGACTGCGTTAGAAAGGGCTTTTGCCTGCTCGGGCATCCTTCTAATCCTTTTTTAGATCATTCTTCTACCCCTCCTCCCATGCTCCCTTAATTTCAGCTCCTCTTGCACCAGCTGTTTGGTCGTCCCTGTCACTCATCCTCTCAGGAGGCTAATCCCCAGCAATGAAGGGCTGCAATGCAGATGAAGTAATAAACTGGAAATTAAAACTATATAATAATGTTACATTATTACAACTATTCCGTAGTATCAAAATTATTTAAATTTTTGTTTGGTGTTGTCCCCGTGGTTCCTATTTTCTCCAGAGCTTTTTCTTTTATGGCTTTGTACTTTTTAGTCAAGCATGTATTTATTTCACAAACACTTTATCAAACAATTACTGTTTAAACTAGAATTTGCTGAATATTTATTATGTCCTACATACTGGCCAGTGTTTTAAATTGACCCTTACAATAATCCTGTGTAATAAATATTGTCATTCTACCTATACAGATGAGGAAAACTATACCTAGAGAAGTTGACACTTGCCCAAGATTTCATTTAAGTATTCATTCCTTCAATAACCCCTGAGTACCTCTGTAACCCAAGTAGTCTCCCAGGCATTGGGACAGATCTGGACCTCACCAGGACCGAGTGCTGCCTGCCCCATCCTGGCTTCATGGACCAGGGCCAGGGCCTGAAGAGAGAGAACAATTCCAAGCAGAAGTTGAAGGAGTTGTTGTTTAAGGAGGGTCTTTATGGGGTTGTAACGCAGGGGGACACAAGTAATGTTGCTTCGGTGCCCAGGGGACAAATTGCTACTCAGAACCACAGCAAGAACTGAAGAGAGGAGTGTGTCATTTTCCCACCTCACAGGTTTGCCCTGTGGGATTGATTAGAAAAGAACGTGGATGAGAAATTACTGTCTCACAGTGGCTGAGGTGAGGGGACAACCTTAGAGTAGATTGATATGAGAAGGACATGCAGGACAACCCCAGGACGCTGAGTAATCACCGCAGTGGGGAGGGAATTGAGGGGCCTGAAGTCCTTTACACAGGTGAAAATATTGAGGCAGTGAGAGCTGAGTTCTGTTATTTGTAGCTTCATTTGTACTGGTGCGAAATGAGGTCACACAAAAATAAATAGACAAATTGTCCTCAAAGAAGCGAAATTTTGTGGAGTCAGGCATGAAAATAGAGCATTAAAAGTGGCAAGCACTATTATAATAAAACACACAGCGATTTAGGAAAGATTTCACAGAGGAGGTGACAACTAAATAAGGTTCTGAAGGATGAACAAGAGTTTTTCCGATGAAAAGAGATGGAGGAATATTCTAACTAGAAGGAATCTCATATGCACAGGCTTAGAGTTATGAAAATTCTCTTTGCTGGAGTCTGGAAAGGTAAGTTAGGGGCAGATTGTAAACCGGCACACCAAAAGATCTGGAATTTATTTTATAGGTAGCAGAGAGCTAGCCCACTAGTCCAGACTTTTAAGCAGGGGGATCATGGAATCACTTTTATTTTTTTTAAATATTTCAGAGGGAAATTTAGATGGCAAATTGAGAGGTGCAAGGTACCGGGTGAATAGCTCTGGGGTAAGGACCGGAAGAGTGACTGATGGGACTGAGGAAATACCTTGTGCAATCACCCAGCAGCCAGGGATCAGAAGAGTGGTTCAGGAACCGAAGGAGGTTCGTGTGGAGGAACACATTTGGCTGTAGGAGAAGAAGGAGAGGATGGCAGCAGAAGGAGAAAGAAAAGACGGCTGCTTGCTTGTATGCAGATGCTGTGGGTAGAAGTGACAAGTTCAAATGAATTAAAGCAGAGAACTGAAGGAAGCAAGGCTTCAGCGGAGCCCAGTGAGAGCTGGAGCCTGCCGCAGTGGTCAAATCGGGTGACACCGGGCAGGCCCGTAATTGGGTCTGCAGACCCGAGTACCTTACGAAGGACTTTGAGCGTCAGGCTGAGGATCTTGGACATCACCCAGGATTCAGTGAGAGTGGGCTCCGCAGCCTGAACTGTGCCGCATGCAGTGTGTTGACTCAAGTACGACACAGTTAGAAAGTCTTAATTGTTGTTTTACATTGCAAAAAATTCTCCATAATACTCCCATGTCTGAAAATAAGCAAATTTGAACTAACCCCGTTCGCTGGGAACAGAAGACCCAATTCCTACTATGAATAGACAGCATCTGCGTTACTCCGAAGGCTCCCTTGCTGAGGGTTGTTTGGAAAGAATGGTTACAAAAACAAAACAAACAAACAAAAAACCCCATCCCTCAATCTCAATCACTCCAACTGATGAGTTTCGAAGAAATTAAATGTTTTTAAAGAAGGAAAATAAAAAAGACCATAGACCTCCCACAGAAATCTACACCCCTAAAGAGTGGCATTTAAAAACTACCCATTTTCTGGAACATCTTCTTAAGCTAAATCTCAGCCACCCTAATCCCTGGGGCAACCCCGCCCTCCGTCCCGCACCCCCACAAGCAGTATCGCACTCGCGCGCAGGGTGACGGAGGCTGACGGGGGCGCGGCGGCTCAGGCGAGGGGCCACCCAGTCCCCGAGGCGCAGGCGGCTGGAGCCTGTTCGCTGCCGCGGCAGCAGCAGGGCGGGAGGGAGTCGCCGCGAGGGGAAGGGGCGGAGGACGCAGGGAGGACTGCGGGGGAGGGGACAGGAGGACGCGAAGGAGAGCCGGGAGGGGCGAGAGCACGACGCGGGGAGGGGGAGTGGAGGGCGGGAGCGGCGGGGGCGCGCCGCAGTCCGAGCCTCAGACGCGCGGGCGCAGAGGGCAGCTCTGGGGCTGCCTGGCTGGGGCAGCCGGAGGCGACAGCTTGGTCAAGAACGAAGGACATCTGCGCTCCAGGGTCCCGGGCAGTCGCGCCGGGGCTGAGCGGTGGGCGCGGGGCGAGAAGGTGAGTAGCTCTGTGCGCTTGTGGCGGTGACACTCGGTCCTGCTTGGGGCGACAGCTGGGGCGGAGGAGGACGCGGGAGGCTGCGGCGTTGTCACTGGGACACCGGCCGGGGTACAGCGGAGCGCTCTCCCGGGTAGCAGCGCCCGCGGCAGGGGCGAAGCGGGTCGCCGACTCCCTTCTCCCCGGCAGGCCCCCGCCACTGCTGCGGGGGCCGAACGCGAGGAGGGGACGGGCGCCCGGGAGAGGGCACAGCTGAAATACAGCAGCGCCGGCACCCGCCGCCTCCTCCAGCCTGTAGCCAACTTCTGCATCCGCACCCGCGTCCCACGCTTTCCGGGAAGCCCTGCCTGGAGGTCTCCCTGTGGGCAGCTGGGCATGGAGAGGCTGCTGGGGCCCGGCCCGGAGGCTTCCCGGGCACGGACACTTAGGACGCGGGGTGTCACGCCACAGAGCCGGCGGGCGACGAGCTCAGGGGCCCGGCGGGCGCGTACCGGTGTGTGCGTGTTCCGGTCCCCGCGGACGCATCTGGGCGTGGGCTTTGTTCGGATGTGCTCACACCTGCGCGGATCGCCGAGTTCGGGGGGCGAGGCCGACTTCGCTCCTCCACTCTCGCTGCCCTGGAGAGGACTCGGGGAATCGTGAGGGGACGGGAGAGACACCGAGGACAGCGGGGTGGGGGCTCTTGCGGGGGGCTTCTTTGGTCCTACAGGTGCGGGTCCCGGGGGTCCCAGCGCCCCGCCCAGCCTCGGAGTGCTGGGGCTCGCCGCGGCGGGCGCGCCGGGCTTGGAGCTGACTGGAAAGATCCCCTCCCTGCCCAGGCTCCCAGCGGGGGGTTCTGGCAGCAGCGTCGCCCCGGGTGGCTGTGTTGAGCCAGGAGTGATTACCCGCCCTGGAGCATCCATCTCGCAGGGAGCGCCATCTGCGCCGGGCGCCGCCCCCGGCCCCCTCTTCGCAGTGCGGGTGGGCGCCGCAGCATCCTGGTCCCCGGCGGTTCGCCGGCTCAGCCACTCCCGGCCCGCATCTGTCGGAGTGCGGAGGGGGACTGGGGTGTCGCGGGAGGGTGAGCCAGGGAGTTGTCATTTCTTCCAGAGCAGTGTACTCCGGGCAGCAAGCGCCCTGGGCCCGGGAGGCGGGTTAGCAGGCCGCTTCTTCCCCTCGGAATCGCCCGGCCCCCGGCCCCTGGCGACGCCGTCTGTCCTCCGCACGGTTGAGGCGGCCCCTGCGCAGCGCCTGGCACTGAGGGAGGGCGCCGAGCGGCGGCGTCTCCTTCCCATCCCGCCCCTCTCCTGCGCTTTTCGCACCAGCAGCTTCAGCCGGAGGCTACACCTGGCGTAGGGCTGTCCAGAGGGGGAAGCCTTCTATTCCTTTCCTAGTCCCAGATGGTTAAGGCTCAGAAGTGAGGATCTGAGTGGCTGGGCCCTTCCTCGCCCGAGGCTCTTGCATGAAGAGATGGAGCCAATAATGGGCTAGGAGGCATTGGTTCTGCACCAGGAGCTCCCCCTGGGGTGGTCCTGGGAAGGAACACTGAATGGCCGCTGAATACAAACCTAGGAGGCTGGGCTGTTTAGGTTGGGACTGCTTTATGCTAACCGTGTCCTGCTATTAAAATCTTGTAATAATGGCTCATGAGTGAATGAGAGACCTTCCAGAGTGCTGAAATGGAGTTAGACAGCTGGATACTTTCTACTTTAATAATAATGATAGACAACTGGTTTATGAGAGCTACAGATGTCCTGAGCACTGTGCATGTTACATGTATCATCTCATTTAATTCCCACAACAACCACATTTTAAAAATTAGGGACAGAGGCTTAGAGAGGTCAGGTAACTTTCCCAAGGCCACACAGCTAGGAAGTAGGGGAGCGAGATTAGCGTTTTGCCCCTGCGCTTTACCATCCCAAACTGAAAATGTGGCCTTTTGGAGGTTTAGGGGAAGCCTAAAACCACTGAGTGTTCAAATCGAGGGACATACCTTACAAGCCCATGAAATTGAGGCCTCTGCAGACCTCAGAGTAGCGGGCAATATTGTAATTCAGAATCGTATTGTGGAATAGCCTTTTATTCCTCCGTAATTCTTTTACATGTTATATTATTCCTGTTAGTTTTTAAGTACATAGCTGTTAACCCATTTCGGTCACTGAACTGTTCTTAGTAATCAGAGCCCCCTGTGATTACAGAGAGATGTGGTTGGCATGTCATAATTTTTAAGAAAAAAATTTTTTTAATAAGGAAAAGCCACCCAGCCCTGAATGTTTTTTGCACAGTTTTGACTGCAGAAGAGTTACTCCTCAAATTGGATGTTGAGTTTGAATAGGACTCTAATATCCAATCTTAGGAAAGCATTCAATATCCTAAATATATAGAAACGTGTGGTACATTTATAAAGATGTTCCCTGTTAACTAGTAAAAATGAAGAATTTGAATGAAAATGAAATTAGCTATTTTTGGAATAGCTTTTAGAATTATTATAATTAACCAATCAAATGGAAAAATGGATTCATTTTGCATTTGTAATCCTACTGACTCATGATCTTCTTTCAACCTTCTTTCTACTTTATTACAGGAAAGTTGCCAAACATTTCACATAACCCATTGCATATCAAAACAAGTACAAGGGAGCTCAGGAAGGTCCTCCAGCCTTTTGATACAGGGTCGTGATGTGGTCCTCGGGCTGGAAGCCAGTGCCTGTACAGCATATCACTGTTTGTTATTGCTACAGTCACAGTAAATGAAAAACAAGTCATTTTTGGAAATGATACGTCCTGTGAGGCCAACACGACAATGGTGGTGATATTGCCTAAGTGCAAGTGCTTCAGATGTGTGAGAGGACTCTAAGAATGGATACACCTGGGCTGTAGAAAATGTCAAGAATCATTTCAAATAATACTTTCCTATAGGTATAGTTTTCCTTTTATAATCGATTGAATATAAATAGACTCTGCAGATATTATATTGCGTACGTACAAAGGAGCTATTCTATAGGAAGCTTTTCTGGTAAAGAGATTCATACATTCATTCATTCATTCATTCATTAATACGTATTTACTGAGTGCATGGCCTACTATTCTAGGCATTGGGAATACAGTGGAGAGAGAAACAGTTTCTGCCCTTGGGGAGATTAATTCTATCATCCATGGCCACATACTTCCCCACACACAGATTTTTTTTCACATGTTATAGGTGTACAGCTTGATGAACTTGCACAAATGGAACATGCTGATGTAGCTAGCACTCAAATCAAGAAACAGTGTAATGCACGCCCAAGAGAGCCCCCTTGTGGCTCCTACCAGTCATTACTGGCACCAAAGGGTAAACACTGAGACACCAGGCTTTTCCCTGATATTTTCACCTTATATCAGCAGCCTTTGCAGTCTCATCCCCATTTTCAAAGAACAATTTCCATCTAAGAAGTACAATAACCCATAGCAAATTTAACTGGAATACAAATCTCCTAATATGTTCTTTTCTTGGAAGTTTTGTGTTTTGGATCCAAAGACCACTTTAGGTCAATCTTCAACTGCTGAGATGAATGGTGCAGAGGAAGTGATTTGAAAATAATTGAAAATTATTAAATACATTCAGATGTTCTTTTCATTTAAAATTTTATGCTTCCTCACGTGAAGGAGCCCTCAACCTTCCTGGCAGGTCAGGACGAAGGACGGACCTAGATGGCAGGGGCAATAATCCAGTGGCTTATTTAATTTAACTCTTTATCTGCCTTGGCAAATGAAAAGCCCCTTTCGTTTAGAAAGGCTTCCATTGGCATCAGAAGCTGAAGTTTCCTCCCCTTCCCCTGGATTTATTGAGGTATAATTGACAAATAAAAAATTATATATATTTAAGATATATAATGTGATGTTTGGTATATGTATACATTGTGAAATGATTACCACAATCAAACCAGTTAACATATCCATCACTTCACACTGTTACCTTTTGTGCATATGTGTGGTAAGAACATTCAAGATCTATCTTAGCAAATTTCAAGGATACGATATGCTATTTTAAACTGTAGTCACCGTGCTGTACATTAGATGGCCAGAATTTATTCATCCTGCCTAACTGAAACTTTGTAGCCTTTGACCAACATCTCCTCATTTCCCCCACGCCCCTAGCCCATGGCCATAGCATTCTACTTTCTACATGTATGAGTTTGACTAAAGTTTCTGAGAACAGGAAAATGTACCTCAATGAACTGATGAATGCTTATTTTCCCTCCCAAAATGTGGAGGAGAGGGCAACATGAGGGAGGAAAGTATGGCAATGGCTCTGCCTCCAGCTTTGGCAACCGTAAATCCTTCATTATCAGGTTGTGTTTAAATGAGGGAACAAGTGCAATATATTTATTTAAAATGTGATATTTTTGCTAAGGTACCTTTATTATGGTAAAATATATATAACATAAGATGTACTGTTTTCATCATTTTGCACTATATAGTTCAGTGACATTAAGTACATTTACATTGTATGCAACCATCGCTACTGTCCATCCCAGAGATTTTTCATCTTCCCAAACTGAAACTCCGTGCCCGTTAAACAATAACTCCTGTTTCCTCAACCCCCAGCCCCTGGCAGCCATCATTCTACTTTCTGTCTTTATGAATTTGACCATACCAAGTACTTTATCTGAACGGAATCATACGGTATTTGTCTTTTTGTGACTGGCGTATTTCACTTAGCTAAATGTCTTCGAGATTTATCTATGTGTCAGAATTGCCTTCTTTTTTAAAGGTGCATAGTATTTCATTGTATGTATATGCCACATTTTCCTTATCCATTCTTCCGTCACATACACTTGGGTTACTTTCACCTTTTGTGTATTGTGAATGGTGTTGCTATGAACATCGATGTACAAATATCTGTCTGAGTCACTGCTTCCAGTTCTTTTGGGTACATACCCAGAAATGAGACAGCTGGATCATATGGTAGGTCTATTTTAATTTTTTTTCAAAAAGCACCATACACTGTTTTCTGTAACAGTTGCAACATTTTACATTCCC